AAGTCGTTGGGAGGGCCGGCCCACTCCATCGACCCCTTCGAAAAGATCGCGCCTTACGGGGCCGGTCGATGAAATACCAACGCCATCGGACTCGAGCCTACATGACCTCTATCCACCGCACCCAGACGGCACCGCAGACTCGCAATCTACTCCTACTTCTCCCTCTACTACGGCACACCCCGAAGGCTCCTCGAATATATCGGTTCTACCATCGAACTTGAACAGCGGATCTCGGCCACATCGTAACCGTTATCCTCCTAAAAAATTGAGGTAGCTGACTAGACCAAAAACATCGAGCGTACGCAACACAGAAGCGATCATAAGACAAGAATTAGGAGGATTTGGTAATGAACATAGTGCACGAATCCCTTTTCTCTTTTATTAGCATTCGAGTGGTGACAGTCCTATGGGTACTAAATTGATCGACCTAGTTAGAGCTCTGACATACGTATCAAATTTAGTTCTCTGTTTCCCCAGAACACCAATAGAATAACAACCCTTTTGTGATGCTTATGTGATTATAATTCGACCCCTTTTTTAAAAGGACGTTCGAAAATTGTAAACTCTAGCTTCGTTCCTCCAGGCTCTCTTTCAGCGAACCCGCTTGCGGGTTCGCATCCCTTGTTTGGTTAGATGAACTTTCTAGGTGATGAAATGGGTCACGTGAGGTCAGCCGAACCTTTTTCGAGGTCAGCCGAACTGTAGTCACGTAAGGGGGATCATATAACTTGATCAGATCATATGACCGCGCCACAGCTTCGCCACGCCTGCGAAGTATTAGTGCGGTACAAAGCTCGCCGTAGACTTTAGAAAATAGTTCTGGTCAAATGTGTGAAATGATTAGTGCTTCAACCTCCTCTAGCCCCTGCGTGACGCTGGCTTACAGCAACTCTGATAGAGTCGCTACAATCACCGCCCACATAGTTATAGCAGACTATCAATCGGTATATTATAAATATAATCTCTTATCCTTGTATCTTTCGTTACTAATTAAGACTGGTATTACATATTTTACGCTCTTAGCACACAGCTAGCAATCATCTTACTGGCAACGCGCCCAAAGTGGTACTTGTACCAGTCATTGGCTTCAAACCTTATCTACGTGCTTCCGTGGGCAATCGCATGTCAAGTTGTAGATCTCAACGCTGACGACGTATGGATATATCACAGTCTAGTGTTTGGTGGGAGCCAAGTCTTCAGCTTCGCGGATATCCTCGTCGTCGATCATGTGTGGGCGTGGGCACTAATGACTGGGAGAGCACGCTTGGAGAAATGGGTCAAGGTTAGAGGAGACGGGGCTTAGGCGTCATAGTTGTCTTTAGCGGATCACGTGTCGGAGCAAAGGTGCAATTTAGAACGAATCACGTTGCATTAACGTCTTATACATAACAGAGACTTGACCCTGCGGCAATTGAATTAGGAACTCTGTCTCAAGTACGCAGCTACAATACTAGGAACAAGTCCGTTGAAGTTAGAACCGATATTAGCTTGACGCGTAACAATAGGAGACACCGTTGAGCCGCTCAGCTCCCCAACCATGTTCTTCGAGTTGATAACACCTTGGCCCCAAACGAATAGCTTAGTATTGTTCCCGAGGACAGTGGCGTATGTCTGGCAAGCATCTGAGGCGCATGGGAAGTTCCAGAAGCCACCACTATAGAGATGAATATCGCTAGAGCCGGTTACGTATTGATAGAGACCAACACGGCACTAAAAAAAGAGGAATGCAATTAGCTCCTTGAATCTTCACACCCACGAAGTCATTAAGAAAGCCACATACCGCACTATCGCTTGTTCCACACCAGCCGAAGTTCGGCTCGCCCGCAAATAATGCGCTTGACCAAGAACCAGGGTTTAACACGGAGGCTTGAGTCTGTACTTGCCAGTATGCCGACTCAGACTGATGTACACCGAGGAAGACGCCCTTAGCGTTGTGAATATTGACTTGATACATGGCGCTATGCTCTACGTTGTTGTTAGCAGCTTGAATCATTGCCTGAACACGCCAATATGAGGATTCGCGAACGGGGTATCTCCTCTCTTCAGGGGGTGGAGACTGACCAGAGCCAACTCCATTAATCCAGGTTCCACCCTGTGACTCAACAAAGAAGCCTCCTCCATTACTGGTACTATATTGAGTGCCACCAGCATCGGATACCCAAGTATTCTCCCAGTATACTGATGAAGATGGTGTCATATGAACCGAGATGTGGTTTGAAGGACAGTTCGCAGCCGACGAGCAGGTACGAGGTTTAGTAATGGTTCCCCCCATATTGAGAGGGAAGTGGACGTTGAAAAATCCAACATCACCGGGCTCGGTACCGGCCATATTGATTTCAAGGAGGACCAAGCCAGGGGAGGCAGACTTGATTCCGAGGATGAAATCGCTCATCTGCGCCACGCCTATAAGAATAAATCAAGTCAGACAAGAATAGATGGCTATTTCCGGTTGAAATTACATACCTACATCTCCGGGGACTCCAATTTGGATCATAGGTCTTGGATTTTTAACATCTGCGAACTTAGAACCTGAGGCCATCAATTGAGACCAGGCTTCGCCGACTAGTCGACTGCCTTTGGGAACCTTGATAGTATCTGTGATAAGATAAGTACCATACGGGAAGAATACAAGTTGATTATTTGCTGCCGCTGAGGTGATCACCGCTTGAATGGCAGCAGTATCATCCCTGGTGCCGTCACCAGCTACGGAATGTTCCTTGACGTTTACGACCTGAGCAGTGGTGAAATCTTGGTATGTCGGTGGAACTACCGTGACAAAGGCGCCCGAACTGTTGACGAGAGATGCCAAACGAGTAGTTGGAATACGCTCGCCGCTAACAACCTCAGGACTTGTTGCACCCATGGCGTATTTGTTGCCCTTGAGCCAAGTCTGATCAGCTGGCACAGACCCAGTTAAAGAGACGGTTCCACCAATTTTGACTGTCTGTAATATGTTTCAGCCCATTAGAACATGTCTGTGAACAAATCGATGTGCTCGATGTTGTTTTTTGATTCAGAGAATAAACTTACTGCTTGCACTGTCGAATCAACCTGAACATTCTGAAGCACTACAGTGTTCACGGCAGCGGCCGCACCAGCGAAGACAGTCTCTGTATTTGTTGCGCTCGAGTCAATCAAATTGAAATGAGCAGTTCCGGTAGCGGTAGAATCAACGCCAGTCGTCACTCGCTCGAAGCGGAGACCCTGCCCAGTGCACAAAAGCATTTGTTCTACTTTGATGGCTGTAGTCGTACCTGTCTTGCATAAGCTTTCATTGAGACATATAGAAGTTTAAGAATCACAAACCATTGAAATACATAGACTTCAGTTGATATTGAGTATCGGAGAGAGACAGGCCGATGGCACCACCATTGAACTGCAGGTCGTTCAGGAAAGTTGGGGAGTTTGTCCCAATCGACTGAATTCCGATATGACCTCCGGAGCCAACAGGCATGTTGAATAGGACATTCTGAATCTGCGAACCCTGACTTAGAGACCAGACGATGAGTGAAAGTCTCTTGGTGGGCGACACAGCAGTCGTATCAAATACTAGATTCTTAACTGTTCGAAAAAAATCGGCAAGACCGCTGCTTGTTCTAACAGAACCTGTAAGGAGTACGGAGCCACTAAAACTAGCGCTGGCCTTGATGACGGGTCGATTTGTAGGGTCTCCAAAGAATACGGAATAGGAGTTGGCTTTCAGACCACTACTGACTAAGTATGTGCCTGTTGGGAAGTATATGACGCTCCCAGCGGCTGGACTCATGCGAATAACATTCTGGATAGCTGCTGTATCGTCTGTGACACCATCACCTTTGGCGCCTAAGTCCTTGACGTTTCGATAGACCGTAGTCCCGCTTCGTTTTATGCTCTCGAACCAAAACGTGGAAGCTGCTGTATTTTCTGTAGATCGATTGATGCCTTCTGATGGAAAAACACTGGCGTATGAGAGTGCCGCAGAGTAGCCGATCTGGCTTAAAAGGAGAAAGGATAGCTTCATTTTGAATAAGCTGCGGGCTCTCAAGTGCCAGGAAAATAATAATAATGGAAGTAGATCCCTCGACTTCTGCAGAAATCTTGCAAGCGCATCTCACAGCTTAAATACCAAATAGTCAACCTTCACTTGTTTGTCGGTAGTAGTGTCTGGTATAGAGTGATTAGATTTAACCTCACCCTATCCCCTTCAATTGAAATGCTACAGGCTTTATTTATTGTTTTCATTTAGCTTGCCATATTAATCAACCAGGTGAGAAGAAAACCCGGGAAGGAACCTTATTCTTGTAACTGATCTTGGAGATCGACTTGATGCTTTGTCCATATGGCATTTCTCCAGATATTGGAAAGCCAAGGGGGATGTGGACGCGATGCTGCCAATCCATATCGGTTGAAAAAAATATGAACTTTACTATAGAACGGAAAATTCTATCGATCTCCGGACTTATCTAACAACCATAGTTTCTCATATTATGATGATGCAGCTATTCGTCCCAATGGTACTCTGTCAGCTTATAGATTGCCTCGATCTCGGAACATCCGACCCGATAAAGTAGGGCAAAATGCAATAATACAGGTGATATAGCACTACCATTCCTTTGAAACATAGCCTCAGTCATGCGAACAGTTCCATTGATTCTAATAACGCCAAAGTAATGTATGAAGAGTCTAGCCCTCCCTCGGATGTTCCGAATATCCCTGTGTGCCGGACAAAATGTAAGGTACTTACACTTTATTACTGTGTCCAAACACCCCATGCGTTGACATCAATTCGCAAGTACCAAGCGACGGCATTTAGCCCAGTGGCGGTTCAATGACGGCGCCAAACTCATGATCTGGGGAATTTAGACGGGGAAAATGGGCCCCATTTTCAGGAACCTGCTAAAATATTTTCATGTTTACCTAACAGCCTACCCTTAATTGGAAGACCTGCTTTAGGGCTGTTCCCGATTGGCGGATTTCCCGATTTTGCGGATACGATATCGGCACGGATACGATATCGTCAACCTTTCAGGTTTGCGGATACGATTCGCCGATTCATATCGGCAGCTTTCTATTCTACCGATATTTTATCCGTTAAATTTTGTCAATATCGGCGAAATCGGTGAATCGGTAAACTACTTCATTAGGACTAGCTTCAATCTGATTTCTATAAGGCTGGTGATATTTTCCCACCAGGTTTTGTTATTTTCCCACCAAATGCTATTTTCCCACCACGCTAGCAATGGTGGAAATTAAATTCTTAATTAGGACTAGCTCCTCCTAATCCTACCAGCGCTGGTATACTCCACATGTCACTATTGTCACCTCTTTTCTACTGAGGAAGTTTGAAGCGCATCTCAAAAGCCTCGTCCTATTGATGTATCAAAGCTACTAACGTCGCTGTCTCTTGCGCGGGCTAAGCCCTTTCCAAGCATTTGAAGCCATCTCTGCTGCAGCACGTCTAGGACGCTCTCTGCCTATATCCGGAGAGCTGAAAAGCTGATTTCGAGCATCAACTTGTGCGAAACGTTCGGTATAGAAGGCTTCAATATCCCCAAACTGGTGATTCCATACCATTGTAGGTGTGTAGGAAGTAAACGGTCCTCTTGTAGCAAGAGCCATATTCCGTGCTTCAACCAGTTCCATCGGGTCGTTTCCTTGTCCTGTCTCGGCCAAAAAACTCGAAAAACTGTTTATATT